GTAGAGATGGAGTCTCGCTCTTGTTCAGGCTGGTCGCGAACTCCTGAGCTCAAACAATCCACCCGCCTTGCCCTCCCAGGGTGCTAGGATTACAGGCGTGAGCCACCGCGCCCGGCCTAGAGGATCTTTCTAAAACTAAATCTGCTCCCACACTCCCAATCCTTCAACGCCCTGCTGCCTTTCTCTCAGGACAGAGCTCCAAATCCTGGACATGGCCTCCCAAGCCAGGTACCTTCCTCCTCTCTTATCCTGCCTGCCCCAGCTTCCTCTCTTACCATTCCTCCTGGCCCTTGCTGAGCTCCCGCTGCATTGCAACCTGCTGCCTCCTTGGGCCTTGAGGTCCTTGCTCGTGCTGTCCTCTCTGCCCTGACCACTCCCGTTGCAGTTAACGCCTGCTCATCCTTGGGTCAGATGACCCCTCCTTGGGAAGCCTCCTTCTTTCATTTTCTTGTTTTTTTTTTTTCTGTTGTATTTATCATAGTTTACAATTATAGTCTTATTTGATTAATATCTGTGTCCCCATTTCAACTAGAGTCTGTCCTGCTTGCCACCAAGAGCCCAGGCCTGGCACAACTAGGTGTTCAGCGAATGTCTGCTGAATGAATCTGTGTGATTGGTACCTTTTGGGCCCAGAATCAAGGTTGGGTTCACAGTGTTTGTGAACTTACAAGCTCCTTGCCCTGAGGAGGCAGGGGGTGGCCATCTCTCTGCCTCACTGGCCAGGTAAGGAAGCCCAGGTAGCCTTGGTGTCTCAGAGTTTCAGTGTCATCATCTGGGATATGAGGTGATACTAGCCTCATCCAGTTACTGGCAAGATCAAACTGAGGACAAGGACTGCTTGAGCCAACCCAGATGCCCTTGGGGCAAGGGTGAGATGATTCACCCATCTGAGGCCTGGCACCAGGGCAGGCATCAGGAAATGACAAGCAAATCTTGGAGCTTGGGGGAATGAGCCTTTGTGAGTAGGTGGGTCCATGGGTTTGTGTGTAGGACTGGCTGAGCCCTGTGCAGGGAGCCCTGCCCAAGTGGCTTCTGGCTCCTCATGACAACCTTAAAGGAAGCATGATTATTAATGTCCCTATGCTGTAGTTCATGCATTCCTTCACTTATTAATTCAATAAATATTTGAGTGCCTATGTGCCTGGCATACCAGGCTCTGGACATACAGGATAAACAAGGAAGACACAGTCCCATTCTTAGGAAGCTCCCTGCCTATGGGGGACTAAGAATAATAATAATCTCCATCTCTCCTGAGGGTTTGCTGTGTGCCCATGCCAAACCCTCTGCACTCAATCAAACCTCACGACAGCCCTACAAGTACTCCTATCATCATACCCTTTTAGAGCTCAGAAAGTTGAGGCAGGGAAAGAGGGAGCCTGTTGCCCAGCGCATCACAGCTCATAGCCTGAGGAATGAGGTCTCCAGTGCCTATGTTCTTAACCGTGGTCTGGACCGCCTCTGGGTATGCCACCCTGCTGTGAGGCTCAGTGTCTTGCTGTGTGACAGCGAGTGCCCCTGGGCTCCAGTCTGAACTCCAAGCCTGTCTGAGTCTGCGTGTATGTGTCTGGAGCCAAGTCCAGTTCTACCCTTGGCTAATGATGAGTTCTACACCAGGATGAGTTTGGGGTTCCTGGGGCTGGGGGGCCATGTCAGTTTCATTCCTGCACAGAAACTTCTCACAGGTCCTCACTCAGATTGATAAATACTTATAACTGAGCAAGGACCTCTCCCTGCCTGAGGCTTGCGGCATCTCTGCTGTTCTGTCAACAGAGATCTGGAAATAATGTGACACCTTAGAGAACCCAGGTGATAGCCCTACCTTCTTCTCCCAAGGGAGGGCATGGAGGTCTGAAGCCAAGCCAGGGCCCCCTTGTCCTGGAAGGAGTGGAGGTCAGGAAGCTACACCTCAGTGGAGCGGGCTGAAGCAGGTGGACTGGCAATGAATGGATGGATGGATGAACTGAATGACAGGTGGGAGGATGGGGCTGTGATGAGCTGTACTGGCCCCGCTGCATCCCCCACTACGGGCGCCCCTTCCTCCTACCTTTCCCTGACTCACCCCTAAATTTCCTCTTTGGGTAACAGCTGCTAAACCCCCTTCCCCATTATCCTCTCAAGAGCACTGGAGACCACAAAATCACAGACCAGAAAATCGGCGCTTGAACCAGTTCCCAAGCCGGGAAACAGTGAAGGCAGCACTTGCCCTTCAGTCACACAGCGAATACGGAACCCGAGCGGGAACCCCCGGTCCACAAGCCTCGCATTCCGGACTCTGCTCCCGAGCCGGTACTGAGCGTGTAGTCCCTATGCTTGGGTGGGACATTCCGCTCTCACAGCACCCCCGCCCCCCGCAGAGCGGCAATGGGCCATTCCACCGGCTCCCCCACTTCTCGTGGTGGTGGGTCAGTCCACTCTGTCCCCAGTTTTCCGCAGGATGTACAAGGTTCCTTCTGGGCTGCTGCCAGCCCCGGCGCGCTCACCTTTGGCCTTGCCTTTTCGCCACCGCCGGCGACTGCGGTTCCTCGACCCCTCTTTGGCCCTCTTCGAAGCCGGGGCCTCAGCAGGCCCGGCGGGCTCCGCTCCCCCGGATGACTCCATCAATTCTCCGCGGTCCTCACGCGGGGGCCAATTCCAGCCGCCGGGGCCCGCCCGGAGGACCAATCCTGGCCACACAACCCCGCTGGGCTACCATACCACCCAATCCTGGGCTCGCTCCGCTCTGGGTCCCGCCTCCTGAGCAATTCTGGCCTCACTCCACTGCCAGGCCCCGCCCCTCAACTGCAAGAGCTTAAGGCCTGGTCCCGCTCCCTCGTAAGCATTAAAGGGTCCGCGGGCAACAAAAATGCACCCCTGGAGGCGGCGAAAAGCGTCCTTCGGGCAGGACTAGTGCGGAGCCCCGCGGGGACCACCTCAACGGGAGAAGTCCCGATCTTGTCAGGTGCTGGTGCTCAGCCTCGCAATCCCACTCACCTTCCCACGGCGGGATCCCCTAGAATGCAGCCTGGCCCGCCCGCTGGAAGGGGAGAGAGGGGCACCTGCTGAGCCTCCGACAGGGGGCAGGGGCGGGCCAGGTCCTCTGGCAACTCAAAGCCGGGGGCGGGGCGCAAGTGCCAGAGGCGTGGCTGTGCCTGAGGAAGCCCCGCTTTCTATCTCCTGGTGCGCCTGTTGCTCTCTTTCACCAGGTTCTTTTTTTCCTCTGCGCTCTCCACTCTCCCCTACCCCACTCGGAGAATGGAAGGGAGGAGGTAAGGAGAATGCTCGGCGCCTGCGCACTAGCTTCAGGCCGCAGGCTGGCCCGCGAAAGAGGAGCGGAAATAGAGGGAGCCACGCGTGCCCGGGAAAAGGCGGGAAACAGAGGAAGGCTCGAAGCTTGCGCATGCGCACATGGCCAATTGCCTCGGGGGAGCGCCTCGAAGGCGGCTTCGTCCGCATCCGCGGTGTGATGCGGCAGTCCTTTGAGACTGAGCTCTGGTGGCCTAGAGAAACAGCTCTTCATCCTCAACGCCAGGAAGAGCAGGCCTCGAACGCTCTCTTTGCGTCCTGCCCCTCCTCCCTCCCTGTCGGAGCATACAACCAGCCCTGGCACTGAGAGACTAATTATCCTCTTCTCAGCTCTGAGAGGGACGGCCCAGCCTTTCCCAGGGGCAGAGACCACCATCGCCCACCCTCTGGACTGTGGCTTTCCAAGTGCCCTCGGCTTCAGGATGGGGATTGCATCGTTTCTCCCACGTCCTTAGGCTACTTCAACAAGTAACCCCGCCGCCCCAGCAATTCCATGGACAAAACTTGCATTCCCCCCTTCTCCATGGCAGGGGCTTTGAGACTAGAGGAGGCTCAGAGCCTGAACACCACAGGACTGGAGCCTGCACCCCCAGGGCCACCATTGCCTGCTTCGGAGGAGCCCCAGGGAGAGCTGGAGAAGGTGGGGGAGCGCTAACGGCCAGCCCGGAGTCTTGGGCCCGTCGCCCTCCGATACTGCTCCCCCGACTTTCGTTTCATTGCCCCCTGGCCTTGCCTGGGAGGTTACTGGCCCCCACGGCCCCTCTCCCAGGCCGCTCCTTCCTGAGAACACAACCAGCGTGGCCACTCCACCTGGCTGGACTGAGAGTCCCCCATGGGGGCAGCCTGGCAGGGGAGCGGGCGTCTTCCTGGCAGCAGAGGACAGACCGAGTACACTCAGAGACTGCTAATGCCCCGATTTTCTGCCTCGTCTGCATGGGAACTCCAAGAGGGTAAGGTCGTCATCGAGCACTGCATTGCTGGTGCTGACGCCAGTGTCTGCCCCAGGGCTGGGGCTCAGTCACTTTCCGTGGACGGATGAATGAACACTGGGACGAGGGCAGCTGTCCTGGTTTCCTGGTCCCTAGCCCCACAGCACGTTCCCTCCTCTCTTTGATTTCCCCCAAATCCTCTGCAGGAAGGTAGCCTGGTGCAGGGGAGAAACTCAGACCCTGTCTTCAAACCCTGGCTTTGCCACTTTTTAAATTTAAGGCCAGCGCAAGATCCTTTTTTTTTTTGAGACAGAGTCTCACTGTGTTGCCCTGGCTAGAGTGCTGTGGCGTCAGCCTAGCTCACAGCAACCTCAAACTCCTGGGCTCAAGCGATCCTCCTGCCTCAGCCT